CTGTTCTAACACTCCTGCGGTCTGATGTCTGGAAGGAGAGCGCTGGACTCGACTAAATCTTTAGCAGCAGTTTAAGAAGAAAACAAGAGAGAATGAGCGAGCGAGCGGAGAGTGTGGCTTCTCTCGCTGTACCAGCCTCTCTCCAGGCACAGGAAACTCAACGAGACGAACAATCCTGCATTCATTCAGCCTTACTGTCACTGACACACACACACACACACACACACACGCACGCACGCACACAAACAAACACGCACACACACGCACACACACACACACACACAAACAAACACGCACACACACGCACACACACACACACACACAAACAAACACGCACACACACGCACACACACACACACACACAAACAAACACGCACACACACGCACACACACACACACACACAAACAAACACGCACACACACGCACACACACACACACACACAAACAAACACGCACACACACGCACACACACACACACACACAAACAAACACGCACACACACGCACACACACACACACACACAAACAAACACACACACTCACACAAACACACACACACTCATACACACAACACTCACACAAAACACACACACACACACACACAAACAAACACGCACACACAAACAAACACGCACACACACGCACACACACACAAAACACACATGTATCAAAAGGCATGCCAGAGACTATTGTTTTTTATAAAGCTCATTACAAACACAACAGATTAACTCAAAACCAATTTTACCTCCTCAAAAGAGTTTTGTCATTTAACATACAGTTTTGTAGACAAGAATGTTTTGGTCTTGTGCCTTGTCGTTAAATTACAAATAAATAAAAAGGTCGTATGAGTGTGTTTTCACCAACATTAGTCAGTGTCGGCACTGCAATGGCCATATATATATATATATATAAAATATATATGAAGAGTTCATTTGCAAAAACCGATAATTTTTTTCAGAAATCATGTTTTTCTTTATTGTGCATTTCAAGTAATATCAATCAAACTGCAGCTGGGTTGTTTAGATTAAGTAATAACTTACAGGTAATTTACAAAATTAAAGTTTATTGAAAGTATGTTTTTTTTACATATTAAAAGTTTGTTTTGTAGCAAAAGCAGATAACGCCACATTTCATGTTTTAGAGTTTAAAAAAACACTGGTTTAATCTTTGTAATCTCCTCAGATGACAATGTAGATGCCTGACAAATGTTGTTGTTGTTGTGATCATAAACTGTATGGATGTGATTGACGAAACTCCTCTCAGCTAGCGCGTCTTTTCAAAGTGAAAGTAGCCTTGTCACCTGACCTGAATACAGCGCGCTGATTCGCTAAAATGGATTTATCGGCTTCGGTTCAGAAACAACAAGGCGCTTCTGCAGTAAAACGTGAAATTTTTTCTTCAATTAAGTTATTTATTTCTAATTTTTTTCTTGTATGAAGATATTGCTATAACTTTACCTCTCAAGACAGCCTTCAGAGTATCCGATAGGATAGGAGGTGAAACCTCACCATTATCATTAAATTCTAAATAGGCACTAATTTCTTTTTTAATTTGTTCCTTGAAACCGGGATCATTAAATAAACTCGAGTTTAATTTCCATGTATTATTCTTTGGTTGCAGTTCAAAATCAATGGATAAATATATAGGTGCATGGTCACTTATATCTATTGTTCCTATTCCACAAGCGTGTACTTTATCTTGATCTTTTCCAAATGTTATGAAATAGTCTATTCTGGTATATAGGGAATGGGGGGCCGAATAATGAGTATAATCTCTTCTATTAGGAAAGAAATCTCTCCATATATCGATCAGACCAACATCTTCAAAAAGTGCATTCACTTTCTTATATAGGGGCCTCATGTCATAATTTTTCCTGCTAGAGGAATCCAATTTTGGCTTCAAATGTATATTTAAATCTCCCCCACATATCAAAAATCCCTCCGTTTCCAATGTCATGATACTAGTAATTTTTTGGAAGAAGCTAAAATCACTTCCTGGGGGTGCATATATATTTAAAAGAGTAACTGATTTCTCATATATTTGACCCTTTACTAGAATATATCTGCCCTCCTTGTCTCCCATTTCCGATATTTTTTCAAAATTTAGTTTGTTCGAAATAAGAATAGCGACTCCCCTCCTATGCCCTGTTTTGTATGAAGAGAAAAACACACTAGAAAAGCCAGATTTCCTCAATTTTTCATGCTCTTTATCATTTAAATGAGTTTCCTGTAAGTATACTATATGGGCTTGCTCTTTCTTCATTTTAGATAAATTTTATTACGTTTAATTGGATTCAACATCCCATTGACATTAAATGATATTATTTTAATTTTGTCTCTAACCATATTTATCTGAAGATCCCGTGTTAATAAACTTCGCTAAATAGAACTTGAACGATCCACTCCCTGAACAATAAAACATACATAGCATGAGAACAAATAACAATGATATGATTCCAAGGTTGGGGTCTCTAACAGATGACCCTGAACTAAGCGAGAAGAAGCGTCTAGCTGTGGGGGAAAATCTCTGTCCCAAATGGGTAGGGGGCCCCCATTGCAGCATCCAAAACAATAAATGTAAAAGTCTGTGTACATTTTACCAAAATTACTACCTTACGTATTCCTGCCTTGTACATATTCTCATTTAAATAGGGGAGAAGGATGTATATAGATAAGTAACTACATAAAAATAAACTTAGATAAAGAAAAATTCACATTATCGTATATGCTTCTCAAACTGAAAATATCACCATCTCTTTCATGGTTTGCTTAGCTCACCGGAAATTTTAAATTAGTTCAGGTTTAAAGTTCCTCTGGAGGAGATAGGGGCCGTCTTCTGAAAACTTGCAACCTCTCTCTAATGTTCCTCTCACGTTCTTCTTCCATACCCTGTTGTCTCAGTCCTCTCGTCGTCTCCCAGGCCGTACGGGATAGTTGCTCAGCAAGACTCTCTCTCGGTGTGATTACACTGACGGGCAATCCTCTGTCCTTCATGTCTGCAGTCGCGTATGGTCGCGTCCCGTCACCATAAAACACCCGTAGTTTAGCTGGAAACGGGGTCTGGAAGCGTATCTGTTTCTGTTTTAGTACCCGTTTGGCTTCGAAGTATTCCTTGTGTTTCTAATAAGAATAGCGACTCCCCTCCTATGCCCTGTCTTGTATGAAGAGAAAAACACACTAGAAAAGCCAGATTTCCTCAATTTTTCATGCTCTTTATCATTTAAATGAGTTTCCTGTAAGTATACTATATGGGCTTGCTCTTTCTTCATTTTAGATAAAACTTTATTACGTTTAATTGGATTCAACATCCCATTGACATTAAATGATATTATTTTAATTTTGTCTCTAACCATATTTATCTGAAGATCCCGTGTTAATAAACTTCGCTAAATAGAACTTGAACGATCCACTCCCTGAACAATAAAACATACATAGCATGAGAACAAATAACAATGATATGATTCCAAGGTTGGGGTCTCTAACAGATGACCCTGAACTAAGCGAGAAGAAGCGTCTAGCTGTGGGGGAAAATCTCTGTCCCAAATGGGTAGGGGGCCCCCATTGCAGCATCCAAAACAATAAATGTAAAAGTCTGTGTACATTTTACCAAAATTACTACCTTACGTATTCCTGCCTTGTACATATTCTCATTTAAATAGGGGAGAAGGATGTATATAGATAAGTAACTACATAAAAATAAACTTAGATAAAGAAAAATTCACATTATCGTATATGCTTCTCAAACTGAAAATATCACCATCTCTTTCATGGTTTGCTTAGCTCACCGGAAATTTTAAATTAGTTCAGGTTTAAAGTTCCTCTGGAGGAGATAGGGGCCGTCTTCTGAAAACTTGCAACCTCTCTCTAATGTTCCTCTCACGTTCTTCTTCCATACCCTGTTGTCTCAGTCCTCTCGTCGTCTCCCAGGCCGTACGGGATAGTTGCTCAGCAAGACTCTCTCTCGGTGTGATTACACTGACGGGCAATCCTCTGTCCTTCATGTCTGCAGTCGCGTATGGTCGCGTCCCGTCACCATAAAACACCCGTAGTTTAGCTGGAAACGGGGTCTGGAAGCGTATCTGTTTCTGTTTTAGTACCCGTTTGGCTTCGAAGTATTCCTTGTGTTTCTGTAGAATTGCCGGAGGGTAATCTTGGTCGAAGTATATTGGTCTTTCATTCAAAAACACCTTCTTTCCCCAGGCTTTGCGCAGAATATCTTTGATTTTGTAGCGGTGGAATTTGATTATTATTGACCGCGGTCTATCTTCCCTGTTGCCAGAGGGTTTCGGTGCGAGTGCCCGGTGAGCTCTCTCGATGCCAAGATCTGTAGTTGAGGGGATCTCCAGCTCGTCCCGTAGTAACTTTTCCACAAACAGCGTCATTGACGTCCCCTCTGCTCCTTCGGGAACATTATAGATCCTTATATTCTCCCGTCGTGATCTCCCTTCTTGGTCGAGAAGTTTATTTTCCTGTTGGTTCATCACTTTTATCATCTTGCTCATCACCTGTTCTACGTTTTGAACGCGGTCTTCTACTTTTCCAATTCGCGTTTCCGCCTCCGCAATCTTTTGATTAACACTGGTGAGTTCGGTGAAAATCTCGTTTAGTTGTTGTTTTGGGTCTTTGTGAAATTCCCTTATCTCCTCCAGAACTTTTGTCAAACTTGCCGCATCACTCAGATGAGTATTAGCATTAGCTTCACCATCTTGTGCCTGCGACGGGGAGCTGTTGTTTGCGTTTTCTTCGTTCACCGTTTCTCCAGCGATGCATTTTTTGTTTCCATCTCTTCTCCCCATTCTTGCCCCGCTTATCGAAACAGGCAAAGTCGAGAAAAAGTTATATTTGGTGATTTAACGGGGCAAATAAGTGGTTTTCCCGGAGGAGCTGTTGTTTAAGCTGCCATACAGGAAGATGACGCCACCGGAATCCAAAATGTATTTTCTAAGTGTTTTTTAAGTGTCTTCTAAATATTTTGTAGAATGTTCGTAACCAAACAGTTGATGGCACCCATTGACTTCCATTGTATTTTTTTCCATACTATGGAAGTCAGTGGCTACTGGTAACTGTTTGGTTACCAATGTTCTTCAAAATATCTTCTTTTGTGTGTTTTTCTAAATGTCTTCTAAATATTTTGAAGAACATAAACTATAAATTGTATGTGCATAAACTATATATATATATAAAAAAAAAAAAGTAGAAGAACATTGGTAACAAAACAGTTACCGGTAGCCATTGACTTCCATTGTATTTTTTTCCATACTATGGAAGTCAGTGGCTACCGGTAACTGTTTGGTTACCAATGTTCTTCAAAATATCTTCTTTTGTGCTCAACAGAAGAAAGAATCTCGCACAGGTTTGGAATAACTTGAGGGACAGCAAACGTTAATTTTTGGGCAAACTATCCCTTTAAATATTACTCACACAAAACTATCACAGTGCTATCACAGTAATACAGCGCACGAGTCGGGAGTCGTATGGACGACTATTATGATGCATCATATCGTCTCTGATGCTGTAGCGTGACAGTCATGTGATCAAAGGTGTGAGTTCATCTCAGTTTCCTCCTAAAATCACTGCGGTGTGAACTGGTCAGCTAGTGTCTTCCTTCTGAATGCTCGAGCCGCTTAACAATCAGTATCACACAGCCATGAGCCGCTCACGTATGCTGCAGATGAGCAGATATATCAGTATTTATAAATAGATGAGAGCGTGGAGGCGTGGAAGAGCTTCATGTTCGGTGTGGGAGTGACCTGAACCGCTTTACCTTGTGTGTGTCACGGACAATCAAACACCGCAATTCTTCTACTGCTTCATTTCTTTACTAATTTAAATACTCTTAATTGCTGTTTTAATAATCGTTAGAATTTAAATTCAGCCTAAATTCAAATACTACAAAAACATAAACTGAAATTATATTTATTCATAAAAATTAAGTGTATTGTGAAACCTGTCGAAAAGATTTTACTCTAAAATCAAAAGAATAAAAACAAAAAATAAATACACACTAGAAATCATATTTTGCATAAACAGGACCATTAATATATCTTGTGTCTGGATGCATTGTAGTAATGATAATTTTGGGGAAAATGTGTTTAATTGTCATGAAAATTATGTCACAATATATAAAATAATAATATAGTCCTAAAATAGGCTTCATTTTCTATATGCAAAATATAATTTCATGTTTTAATTCTTTTGATTGTGTGGTGAAAAAAAAATATAAATGTAATAATAATAATATTTTAATAACAATTGGTTTTATTGAAGAACATACAGTTCTTGAAACGTCTGGAATCACAAAATGATTCATAATTAACTAAATATAATTAATACTCACAATTTCTGTTAATGAAAAACAGAATACAAAATAATCAGTTTCATCATAAACTGTATGTTTATTTTTAATTTTAATTTTAAAGGGGTGGTTGATTGCGATTTCACTTTTTTAACGTTTAAAAAAAATAAAATTGTGCTTTTTCATCCAGTTAATCTGAGAAATAATCAATAGATTAACTGATTAACAAAATAATACTTATTTACAGCTATACTCTTGATTTAAAGACATAAGACTGAAAAAAAAGAAACAAATAATTTATCACAGATTAATTTAATATTAATGCGGTGAGTTGCAATGTTGCTTGTTAACAATGTAAAAAATTTTTTTTAAATGATTAAGTTTTAATTATTTATACATTTACATTTACATTTAGCAGACGCTTTTATCCAAAGCGACTTACAATTGGGGGATACATAAAGCGATTCTTCTTA